AAAAAAAAAAAAAACATTATCGTGAAACTAATAGCTTTCTCGGTTTAAGCACTAAACCTAAATGCATGTTCTACATAACATTTTATTATTAATTTCAAAAACATTTATCTAAGATAAAAGGAATATTAAAAAGATATTTTAATATATTTGTTGAAAAAAAAATTAAAAATTGAAAAACTCTTTAAAGACTTATTGGACAATTTAATATGGTTTTTTGCTTAAAACACACTATAACTTTTCAAGTTTTTGATATACTATCCGACTATTAAATAAATAACTGATTTAATTTTCATAAATTTATGTGTGATTTCGATTATCGTGAATATTATGACGTAATYAAAATAATATCATATTGCTTGCATTAGTTATATTGTCATGTGTGTTTCAAAATATCTAAAATGAAGGTTTTGTTTGCCATATTGTAATATTCACATAGATTTTGAAATCAATAAAAAAACCATTCAATCAACCATCAAAAAGTACTGTATAGGATGTTCAATTTCACAAGTAATAGAAAAATGATTTTAAATGATTATTATTTTGATTGTTTTTACTTTACCATATCAAAACTATAATTAAACGTCCTATAAAATATCACGCTATACATAACACACCTATTGATGTACTATAATTTTGTTGTTATAGGTTTGAATCGTATTTTAAAAAATAACCTCATAGTTATAGATAACAATTAAATATTTTTATATATTAAACAAAACAATAAAAAAAAACGAATATGAGTTCATTCAAAATATGTTCATATTTTGAATTATTGTATGTACCCCGTATAAACAATGAAATGAATATCATCGTCATAATATTTACTTTACATACATACTAATATTTTTTTTATTTGTAAAACATTATGAATTTCACTTGCGTCAACAAATTGTAGAGATCAAACATAAAACAAATCGTATATATACCGTTCAGAATTTAAATATTTTATTCATTTAAAATTGACACAAATATTTAATACACTTGAGGAAATTCCAACCAAATATGGCTTTCAAGGAAATTTCAATGTTTTCCAGTCTGGTGGTATGTATTTTTGTAGTGTATACATTATAATAATAAACCTTTTTTTTTAATATATAAATAAGGTTACAATTAAATTACAATTTATAAAAGTAAGAAAAAAGTCTAACATTTTAGAATTAAAAAAAAATAAAATAAAATACTACTGAATTTGAGTAACGGACTTATAATACGTATATAATGAAATAAATTAAAATTGCTGAAAAACTTTTACTTATTTGGGTTATGTTTTACAAACAATACGTTAGTAAGTTAATAATCGTATGTTAATAATACTATACATTTACATAGAACATTTTAATATCTATACTCATTTTGGTATTATTATATTATAGACTTTCGTTACGTATTAAATAAAAATTGATTAACATATTGAACATTAAAATTATACAAGTTAATATAACAGTTCACATAAATGTATTGTTATATCTATAGTATATTCATATTATGTTCCCTTAAATTTAACCGGAATATAGTTAGATGTTTAAGTAAAAACTATATTAAAATATATCATTTTACATACAATGATCTACTAATCTGTTAAATAYATGCAATTCATTGCCATGGTAGTAAAATTAGTATGTTACCACTACAAAAAATTAAAAATTAATTATTATAAATCTTGAAAAAATTAATACACCTGTGTTTTTTTTTTTTTTTTATCTTTAAACAAAATTATAATTTAAGAGATTTTCACTACATTTTAGTAATAATTCGCTTACCAATAATCATTAAATAGATACTCAATTTTAATGTATAAACTAGGTGTCTAATAATTTATAAGATAAAATATTTTTATAATTTTAGATGGTCGCCATCTTAAGCTACAGTGCAATAGAATGCAATGCAGAAWCATTTGAACCATTATCAAACCAAGATTTATATACAACAAAAAGCTATCTTTATAAATTGGGAGAAGCTGAAATGAACTTGATGGACGATTTGCAGGCATTGAACGACATGAAAACAGAATATTTTGATAGAAAAGTCGAATTTCCTGCTGTAGAAAGAGCAAGAAATGAACTTCTCAAGTCCCAAAATCAGTGGTTCAAATATGTTATACAATATATTGCGGCAATGAATGAATTTGATCCCACAATCAATTATCAAACCAAAAATCGATACCAAAACTATGATGACTTGATAAATTATAAAGATAACCTAGATGGTACTCGTGCCAATCTTTACAACCCAGCATTAAATACTCTACCAAACAACTAATTATAGAATAACGATTAATGTAATAATGTTTTGTTTTTAACTAGATGTATGTTATTGTTTTTCTACTAATCAACATAACCTATTTCGGTTTAAATAAAACAAATGAATCATCTTTAAGTATCCAATAATTTTTGTTAAAAATTAATATTATGGTCCTTCAAAATCCCTCTAGAGAATCAAATTATGCATAGCTATTAGGTATATTAGATACATATTTTTATTAATGACACATTTTAATGAAGTTATGTTACATAAAAAAATTGAATTTATTGATATGATATTTTGATTTTATATCTAACACGAGTA